TTTGTCGGTGTTGCTACTTTTATCTGTATCCCGTTCGCGAGGTTACGGGCACTGACAAAATTTATGTTTTGGCCTTAAGGGCCAGGGAGACACGGTCCCAAGCAGCCTTCTCTTGAAGAATCAACGGAGGAGGGGCCTGATTTCTCGTTTGTGCCACCGGGCGCGGCGACGGCGTGGCACGGGGACAGGGAGCGACGGGGGTCGGAGGGCGGGGGCGCGACGCGTTCGCGGCTTTGCTTATTTTAGCGGCCGCGGAAGCTCGGGACTCCGCGGCGCGCTTCTTACCCTTTTGCACGAGGGTGAATCCATCTGTTAATGAGGCGGGAACGAGGTCAACCTCCATATCCGAGTCAGAGTCGGAGGACGAGGAGGAAGGCGCGGGAGCGGCGGACGCGACGGAGGCCGCAGACGATCGCTGAGGTAAAACGGAAGCTGCCGCGGTAGACGCGGGAGTTTTTCGCGACAGTATGGGGGACACGGGTGTGCTGGGCGCGACGGAGGCTGCGGTGTACGGCGCGGGAGTTTTGCGCGCGCTTGCAGGGGACGCGGGAACGGCAGGCGTGGCGGAAACGGCGGGCGCGGCGGGCACGGCAGAACAGTTCACGGCGCGTTTAGCTTTGTAAGCTAAAAATTCTGATTCGAGGGCCGGGTATTTCTCGCTTAAGAATTCCGCGAGCAGTGTGTTGGTTGGAGAAAACTCCATTTCTTCGGACTGCCCAGGGGGGGCTGCCCCGGGACTTAAACACGCGCTCGCCTTGCGGCGAGGCCCCTGCGTCGGTAACACTAAATTGGCCGAAGCGATTCTAGGAATTTTAGAAATTTTAGTGAATAGAATAAATAGAATAGAATTAGAGTGAATAGAACCACTGCACAGTTTCCGGGCGGCAATGCCTTGTAATTAGGCGCAGGTACAAATTCCGAGAAACACTTGGGCCACAGATGTGCCACGAACAATGATCTATTATCACCGGTAGTCACTTCCGACAAAACACTTGGACGCCAGATGTGCCACGAACCGAGGTCGGGCAATCGAACGAACAATGAGCACGTCCACGCGCGTCGGTTGCTCAAATCGGAGTGTATCTGGGTGTACTAATATAACATATGTATAATAAAAAAAAAGGAGAAATTTTGGTATAATAATTGGAAAATTTAAGTTTGGGGCCGTTGAATTAGCGTTAGTTTATTGAACTTTAATTACTCTAGAAGTTTTTACAGATTTTCAATAATTTTCTAATGTTAGAACGAAGGTAACAAGTGCGAGATAAAACCGTAAACCTAGTTTTAAATTTATCTACTAAATCTTCCGAAAACCAAAACTATTAGTACGTTTTCAATTTGTACCCTTATTCGTAATAGTAATACAGTGTCAATGGCTATAAGCACTGAAATGTAACTGTATACAAACGAAACAAGGCAATGAACTAATTGAAATTCAATGTCGTACTTGTGACTCCATCTATTGTTTAGTTCCTACAGCGACGTCCCAGATGCGGTTGTGATTTCGGTTTCTTCTAGTTGACTTCAGATGACGCTTTTATCAAACTTTCGACCGGTCTCCCAATAGCCTGTTTCAATCATAAAATTCTAGTGTCAGATAATAGAGTATGGATTAGAAGTTCTAATTTAGAACACAAAAATTACGTATAAAAACGCGCCACTGTATCAGAGGGATGCCGCCTTACCGCCGCGGCATTGACACCGAGCTGTGCTAAGCCTTCCTTGTAGAACACAAATGTTTTGAGAGACGTCAAGTACCGATAAGCAGGTCATCTGCTTCAAATATATCCCTATTTTTTAAGCCAACAGAAAGACGTGTAGAGTTTCCTCTTTAAAATAACACTGGTGTGCTTTTCGCTGGATTGATGTCTGTGCGCCATTTCCGGAACCACTGTCCGAGGGTTACGGCTGCGCTCTGGAGTTTTCTCCAGGAACTTGGTTCTACTCGAGTAGTAAACGGCTGTGTCGTCAGCAAATAAGACGAACTGGGTCGGCGGCGACCGGGGAATGTCTTTGGTAAAAAACTAAATAGGAGAGGCGAGAAGACAAAGCTTTGTAGGACTCCAGCCGTGAGCGGTCGCGGTGAGGAGCGGATTCCCTCGACTCGATATCGAAAAGAACGGTTCGACAAAAAGCCCCGCATGAAGCACGAAACTATAGCTATACTGTAACTATACTGAGACCTTAGATCTTATATCTCAAGGTGTGTGGCGTATTTACGTTGTAGATGTCTATGGGCTCTAGTAACCACTTAGCACCAGGTGGGCTGTGAGCTCGTCCACACATCTAAGCAATAAAATAAATAAAAAACTATCCGGCACGCCTATGTTGAATGGTTTGAAAATCAAACCGTTGTGCCAGACTTTGTTGAACGCTATTGCGACGTCGAAGAAGAGAGCTCCCGTGTAGTGCGGTTTAGGCCAGTTAAGTCCTACGAGAATGTGCTCCGTGAGACGGTGCACTTGTTGTACGCATAACTGATTTCCGCGAAATCCGAATTTTGCATTGATCAGAATGCCTTTGGATGAGACGATGTCTCTGAAGACGCTCGTACAGTTTGCCTAGAGACGTGTGGAGGCTAATTGGACGGTAAGCGAAGTGTCCTCCGCGATGCATCCCATATTGCCCAAAAGGATATGAGCATACAAAGTGCTGTCCCTAAATCGCTCGCTTATCCTTAACTTTCGTTATTATATAGAATATAAAATTTGAAAATCACTTCTAATAAAATTCTTAATATTTTTAGCAGTTACGAGTAAATACTGCAATACTGCAATACTGCAATACTGAAATGTAAGATCAATTGTTTGGTAAGAGAATTCCCTGACAGCCCTGTGAATACGAGCCGATATCTCCGGCGCGCGACACCCCCGAGCCTGGATCCCACAATGATAACCGAGTCACGAACGTTTCCAATCAACGTTCAACAATATATTATGCGTCGATTACAACCAGAAGATCCGCGAGCTGCGATGTAATCTGGCCGGCGTTATCCGCGCGTCGCGTCCCCGCACCCACCACACACACGCACGCTTCCTACACGGAGGAGCGGGGAGTTGGGGGAGGGGGGGGAGCCCAAGGTCATCATGCGACTTGTTTGCTACAAATCGGTAATCTACCTACTCGAAATGTACGTTTCCTTTGTCGCAGGAGTGCGGGGATCTAAAATAAAACAGAACGCAAACAATGTATTTAAGTAATGTTTTAATATTACTTACTTTGACACAATATTACATTTTTATCATTATTATTATTATTATACTTATAAATACTGATATTATTACAATATACTTATGAGATCCTTTAAATATCTTAAAATATAGATTACAATCAGGTGTAACAAATACATTTCTCAAACGCATATTATTATGGTTTTAACAAACCGGCTACAATCTGCAGCCTAAAAGAGCGACTGGTTCAAACAACGCATCACAAAAATAATGCAAATTCTTAAAAATAAAAATACATCATTTTCACTGATGCAGTAGAACTATTTCTCTTTGATTCACGTAGGAAGAGACTCGTCTAATAGACCTCGATGCTCTCCTGATGGTGCACGGTGTCCTGGCGGAACATCTCCACGTCGGCCTGGCTGTCAGCGTGGATCACCTTGGCTCGTCCCTCCTGAATAACAAAAGTATACAAAATGAATGTAAACTATAACAGAACGGTAACCACATGCAATTCACAATGAAGATAAAATATCAAGTTAAGAGGTATGATGAGAGACGGGTGGAGGAATTGGAGGACATGGAGGGGTCCCGGGGTCGGAGGGAAATCACCACCGTCGCTGCTCTTGCCTGCCGCGGCAGACTGTGCGCCCCGTCCACGGAGATTCGCTTCTCATCGCAAATATCGTTTTTCACAAGCAAAGAAAAAGACGTTAAAAATAGAATATTTAAAAATTTAAACTTTATCGTCCGAGTGTGAACATATAGTGGAAGCTCTTATTTCTTGGTTTGCGACTTGAATAATGTTGTAATTTTTAATGAGACCGATGTTGCTCCTGCGGCTATCAAACGGTGCGTCAGTGGAGAATGTTGCTAAGTGGTGTGGTCAGGTAAAATAAAGACTTTTTCCTACCTATGCTGATAGCCTTTAGAGACTATTTCAGCTTCACCTTAACTTATGTTGGTGAGCTCACGGGGCTCAAACCGGAAGTGTTGCTAGCACTGGCCCTAATAAGAGCAGTGCTTCGCAGAATCTACCACCGGATTGGAAACGCGACCCACTGAGAAGATCCGGCGAGAAACTAAATCGGCTGTGTCTATGGGTTAATTCGCCCGTCAAGCCCTTCGACGGGTTCGAGGAGGACGGTGACTGGTGCTTGTGGTTCCTGAAAGCACCGTTAATGTATCGGGATCCGTAATGACGTCTTTAGAGCAACGTCTTCATGTCGTGCAGCCTTCTCGGAGTGAGAAAAGACAGTTGTAATAACGGTGTATATAAATTGAGATCGAAAAAAATCTTTAAGCTAAGTAGTGCTTTAAGCGCTTGCCAAAATAATGAAACATGACTCTATTAGAAAGAAGCTAAGTATATTATATTGATTGATGTCATAAAAAGAGTTACAGAATCTACTAATGATTGTTAAAGTAGTGGCGCGTCGCGTCCAGACCTTAGGGTGCATGAGGATGAAGGGCAGCTCCGCGACGAGCTCCCCGCTGAGCGCGCCCAGGTACAACTTCACCTTCACGCTGTAGCTCACCACGATGCCGAACGCGTCACGCTGCTCCGGCTCCAGCAGCCTGTGCAATATGTAGGTAGGTATTACATACAACACGATTTACTGTACGAAGGTTGGCTCCTTAAAGTTTTTGAAAGAAGGGCTTCACTTTTAACACTGTAAATTAGGTGTAAAATTTGGCAAACCTCCTAATATTCTGTTGTCTTTATTATTCTTAACAATTTAACAAACTCCTTTCCATTTGCAAGTCGTCGTGGCTTAAAGGATAAGACGCCCGGCGCATACGTACCCCGCTGGCAGGTTCCAATTGTCGCAATGATATACCTATACATATGTACGTCCTTAACAAATATTCACGATTGATTTCCAAAATTATAATTTGCGAAATTACTAGTGGTAGGATGTTTTGTGAGTTTTTTTATTTTATTTTTTATTGCTTAGATGGATGGACGAGCTCACAGCCCACCTGGTGTTAAGTGGTTACTGGAGCCCATAGACATCTATAACGTAAATGCGCCACCCACCTTGAGATATAAGTTCTAAGGTCTCAGTATAGTTACAACGGCTACCCCACCCTTCGAACCGAAACGCATTACTGCTTCACGGCCGAAATAGGCGGGGTGGTGGTACCTACCCGTGCGGACTCCCAAGAGGTCCTACCACCAGTGATTACGCAAATTATAATTTTGCGGATTTGATTTTTATTACACGATGTTATTCCTTCACCGCGGAAGTCAATCGTGAACATTTTGTTAAGTACGTATTTCATTAGAAAAATTGGTACCCGCCTGCGGGATTCGAACACCGGTGCATCGCTTCAACACGAATGCACCGAACGTCTTATCCGTTAGGCCACAACGACTTCAAAGTCGCACGGGTAGGTACCACCACCCCGCCTATTTCTGCCGTACCTTAGAACTCATATTTCAAGGTAGCTAGCAACATTCACGTTGTATATATAGATGTCTATGGGCTCCGGTAATCACTTAGCACCAGGTGGGCCTTGAGCTCGTCCATCCATCTAAGCAATAAAAAAAATATACATATTATATATTTCAAACCACAACATATTCTATTTTGTTGTTTCAGTAATTATTTGCTTTAAATTAAATTTGTTTACTGTCTTCTATAATTTTTTTTATTGTTAATTTACCGCACAAAGGACACAAAATGCATGAGATCACTTTATTGTTCTGATTTTAAAGAGTTGTATTACAAAACATCTACATCGTTTAATATACAAAAGAGTTAAAACAGTCAAATCTGTGATAACTGATATACAAGCTTAATTATCTATATATTAATACGTGAAGCAAAAACTTTGTACCTACCCTTTTTTACGAAAAATGCGCGGACGGAGGAGTATGAAATTTCCCAAGAGAATATAGAGAAGGAGTACATAATGCTAATATTTTATTTAAATTATGCATTAATAATAGGTGCATTAAGTCAATAAAAAAAACATTACACAAACTACCATGTATTTGACACACACACACATATAAATACTCTTCGTTTACTGTCAATTTTTTGTTATTGCTTAGAGTATGTGTGTTAAATTGAGAATAGGTTATTATAGTTTATCTTTAATATGATTTGTCTATAGTGTAGTATTTGACAAAAGAACCATATTAATGTTCAAAACTATAATTTCAATTAATTACATAGTCTAATTTCGACAAGTGCGGGACCACTAGTAGTTATGAATGAGTGTTGCTCACAGAGTGGTGGAGGCGAGCGTGGTGTCGGCGCGCTTCAGCTGTCCGTCGAGGGCGACGCCGCGCTTGTCCCTGTTGGAGGCCAGCGTCGGCGACAGGTGCAGCACCTTCTGCAGGCTGGAGCCCGGCTGCAGCGGACACCCGTCCCTGCGACCGCGACAGAACCCCTCACAGTATAATCGTACAGATTTTGACCGGTGCCATTGAGTCTAATTCTGAACTCTTCATTCTCAATTCTTATATGGTTATACTTGAAATCAAACTTAAGGTAACTCGACTGATATATTGTTAACACTGCTTCGGAACTGTTCCTGTGAAAGCCCGTATATCATCTAAGAATACTTAAGATTATTTCACAAATTGTTTGTACTTGGTGTCGTGTACTACATGAACGACTCCAAAAGTTTTTGTATTGACACAGACCCCCACCAGCTACGACGACTTTATTTAGTCTTATAGACTTATTAGTAATTTTTGCTTTTATTTTAAAACCGTTCAAGATAAGATTCAAAATCTCACTGCGTCAAGTAATTTTACACTTAAGGCATGTGAATTACAATACACAGTCGCCGCACAGGAGCCAGTGCGCATCGCCTCTCAGTTAACTAGTCACTGGGCTACTCACTGGGTCTCGATGCTGGCGACCACGTTCCTGTACTGGCCGTTCTGGAAGAGCACCACGTCGACGCTCTGGACGACGTTCGCTTTGATCTTCTTCACGACCTTGTTGCTGTGGTTGCGGACGCTCATGTTCACGGCCACCGTCTCGCCGTGCATGTACAGCTGCGGACACACGTCACCAACTCATTCCCACCAGACTACCACCCTTCCTTAATGTTCAATTTAAGAAATACTTATTTCTTATCCGCTTATTTCGTAGATGTGGAATGGAAGAAGCTGGCATGTCAGCGCTTATCGTAGACCCGGATTGTAAGGTGCATCTCAGTGTACCCGCCTGCTTATCCAAAGTAAGTTCGAGCTCTAGTTGTCCCGGAGAGAGCACGAAGTCCTTCCGCACGACGGTGCAGGGCTGCGGGCCGGGCTTCGAAGGCGCGTACTGCACTTTGCGGATGCCCAGCGCTATTGTACTCCTGACAAACACATCCAGTCAGTTAAGTACGGAACTGTTTATATGCTCTACTTGCATTTGCAAACAAAAATTGCAACAAGAACAGTAGAATATTTTTTCCTCTTTTTATTCCTCCTTAATTCTACGTTTTAGTGTAAAACGGCTGCCCAACCCTTCATCTTTGAGTCCACACGGGTAGGTAATACCACCCTGCCTATTTCTGCTGTGAAGCAGTAATGCGTTTCGGTTTGAAGGGTGGAACAACCATTGTACTGTAAAACTGAGACTTAGAACTCATGTGTCAAGATGGGCAGTGGCATTGACGATTGACGTGGTTAATATCTATGGGCTCTGGTGACCTTTTACCACTAGATGTGTCATACGTGAGTACATTCAATAAAAAAACATTGGCAGTATAATATACAGCCGCGGGCTATTACTGTACTGCCACATGTTAGTTCTGTTTCAAAATATGTTAATATCAGTCAGTTTTATTTATTTAAATAGTGAGTAAAAAACAATATGAAATTAATTTTATTATTCTTTAATAGAAATATTTTTATTTATTAAATTTATTATATAATATTTAAATAGCTTCATTTACATATATACTCTTTAAATAAATAAATTTGTATAGTAAACAAACTAATCCGAATTCGCTCATTTTCAGTTAACCGTAACCGTAACCTAACTACATTAAGTTATGACGATTCAACCAAAATGCACTGTAATATCATTTAATGTTGGTACTATAGGTACATATATACTCTAGGTATGTATAGTTCGTACTATGAACTACCAGCAGTACTGTAGCTGTGCTTGAACTTCTAGTTGTGTTGCTATTTTCAAAACTTTCTACAGCTATAGGTCAAGTGGAAATGTGGTGAAGATCTCGAGCGGGCTCAATCTCATGAAGTGTACTTAACGAAAAGTATAACTTCGCGATTGGTGGATGGAAAACGTTCGTCAGTGCTTTACAAAAGGTGACGTATCTTTGAATAAAGCTGCTCTAACCTCGCTTCACCTACCTGCGGTGGGACCTGTCTATCTCGGAGTCTCCTACGAAGAGCTTGATGTAGTAGTGCACCCCGCAAGGCTCGCCCTCGTCCTCCAGGCCGGGCTGCAGCGTCACGGAGCCTGGCGCGCCGGCCGGCACCGTCAGGTGGAACGGGTGCGCCGTCTCTCCCAGTTTCTTCATCAGTCGCTCCTTTGTGCACCATATTTTTATATTATATTTTATTTTTTATTCTTGTAGCTCCGCTCATCTCAATAGAAGAACCACGAAAGGTGCCACAAGACGACAAAGTCAGCCGACGGACCAGTTTGAGATGCAACTAAACAATGGACTCTGAGGAAAGGATGGCTCTGTCGCCACACGCGGCCCAGAAATCATCTAGGTAGGAGGTTTATATATGCTTTCGATCATGTGGAATGATGGAAATAAATAGTACAAAATGATCACTGACAGTCGAATGCACCGCGTGACTGGGCGTGAGGAACTGACGCTCGTGATCAGTTTACAATGGATTAATGATAGTCTTTAAAAGGAAACAGGGATGACGCTCAGGCCACACCAACTTAGTAGTACTCTGTTCTGTTTCTTTCTAGAAAAAAAACTGTACACCTTAGGTAGGTACCATCTATATTCTGTATCCATATCCTATATTCCTGCAGTACTTTTTCTTGAAAAATTCTAACATTTCATAAAATTGCAGTTGTTTCCACCTTTTTCAGATATGGACAAAATTTAAATAGGACCATGTGAGAAGCACCTGCTTCCAAATAAAAAATAATCATCAGACTCAGTTCACTCACAAACAAGTTCTGCGGTAACACGCATAAAAAATACAGTCCAATTGTTAATCTCCTCATTTTTTTAAGTCGATTTAAAAGGTATAGCCAACCTCGGTCAGCAGTTTTTGACATTTTCAGTCATATCAGAGCCAGGGCTACAAACTTTCGGAAAATAAAACCTAAGGCAATCAATCAGCCGGTACGGAAAGATCATTGAAATCGGTCCCGGCTTAGGCTATCTATCTCTAGAAAAAACGACTGTATGTTACGCACACAGCGAGAGTGAACGAGCTGGAGATGTGGAGAGGTAGTAGATGAGCTCGGCGCGACCCAGCCGTGCGGACCACAACGCGTTTATTGTTACTAGCCTTTAGTCGGTGATTGAATCGAGAAGGTTTCGTCTATAGTGTTACTCAGCATACATTGTGAGTCCGTGCGGGTAGGCGCCACCTTGCCTATTCCTTAAAAGAAGCGGTGGCGGTCCAGATTTCAAAGATGAGGCAACCGTGATACAATGAAATTTACTTTATAGTGATGTCTTAAAGTGGATGGCCGCATTGAACCATGTAATGGCTATGGGCTTCCGTAACAACATCAGAAGGGCCGCGGACTCGTTCACCTTCGTGCCTAATGCAACAACTATAATACTAAAGAACATATGTATTAACGACAGTCCTCAGTACCTGCGTGCGACTCAGTTCATAGGATCGCTTCTCGGGCGGCGGGTAGATCTGTTCGGAGGCGAGGAACAGCTCCTTGTAGAAGTTGAGCCCCATCACCTCATCCTCCTCGCGCCCGTAGCGAAACGTGCACACCACCTGACCGAACACCTTGCGCCCGCGAACATACTCCTCGTCCAGCAACACCACGCCGTCTGAAAGAGACAACTCACATTATTGGGAAACGAGAAATAATCTAATGTTATTCTATATGGTGTTTGTACTATTTAGTAGCTAAATTATCGTACTTCGTAGGAAACATAAAAATAAGACGTACTAACTACCTACTTAAACCTACCTAGCACTACCCCACCCCTACCCGGGGGTGCCGTTGAAAGTGACTAAGAGATTCACAGGAGTATGAGCAACAGCTTCCTCTGGATATTAGATCGACGTCCTGCGACGGCAAATAGCCATTTGCTGATGGTAGAGTGTATTGTGTCACCCGTCGAGTAGATACCACCATCCCACCTTCATCTGCCGCGACGCAGTCTTGCATTCCAGTTTAAATGGTGGGATAGCCGGTATACAATAAAATTGCAACTTCGAGCTCATGTTTCAAAGTGGGTCGCATCGGTTGGGTCGACAACTGAAAATAGTCTCAAGCATTCACACAAGATTCATGGAGCTTAGTTAAACAACGTGACGCTCGTATATAGTAGAGAAGGTGCCTCCAACCGCTAACTGCAATTGCGGTGCGGTAATAATGACAAAACTAATCCGGAAACAATGATGTGCTAGTGAGGCAGGCGATCAGGCGGGTGTGGAGATCCATGGCATTAGAGCGGACACCTCACCGGCCTCGTGCGGGAAACTCACACGACGCGACCCGCCGCGCCAGGGGTGTCACACTTACACATTAAACGTACATTACACTTAAATTTTATTTCTAACAATAATATCGAAGTTAAACATTACTTGATTTTATTTTCAATTCTCATTTCGTACGCTTTCGCTTTGGGATGCATACAGCATGCAGTCGGGTAGCGAGTTGGAGAAATTAATGATTTATTTGATTAACAACGAATGATTTTTTATTGAAATATGGATTAGTAGAAGTCGCTTTAACTACTCTTTTTAATATTTGACGAAATTGGTATATATATCAGAGAAATCACAATTATCAACACCATCGTCAGACATCGTAAGGGGAATATTAAGTACACCGATCACGTTTGCTGTCTTAGAACAATTTAGAAATCTTCTCTTAACGACGAAAACGAATGACCGTTCTTAGGACAGAAGCGCCGCTCTTCAAGAAGGCTGGTTGGTAGGTGTGATGGCGTCTACGCGCCTCCATCGGCTAGGCTCTATCGTAGCACGAGGTTAGCCGAGTTCCGACGATACCGCAATCGTGCTGCATTTCGTTTATCTACCAAACTAATGACCGTCTCTGATGTATATTTATTGGAATCAATTACTTATTCGAGCTCGGGGAATTCCAAGTATGACGTCATCGACTTCATAATCATCAGCCTGCGGCAGTCCACTGCTGGACATCGGCCTCCCCCAAAGCTCGCCACTGAACCCGATATTCGGTTCTACGCATCCAGTTACTGCCAGCTAGCCTTGCGCAGGTCGTCGCTCCATCTATCAGGACTTACAGAGTCTGATTTTTTAAATTCGAGTTATCGGGTATAAGAACGCTAAAATGCACACATTGGGAAGCCTTCATATTAGGGCGTCTCTACCCTATGTTTTGCAAGCAAAGCAAATTGTCTCTTCGAAATAAGGTGACACTCTACCAAACTTGCATACGCCTCGTCATGACGTATGCAAACGTAGTGTTCGCTCACGCAGCCCGCACCAACTTGAAGCCCCTTTAGGTTATTCAATCCCGATTCTGCAGGATAGCCGTCGGAGCACCATGGTTCCTGGGGAACGTGAATCTCCACGATGACCTGGAGCTCGACTTGGCCAGTAAGTATCGAAGGCGGCACGACATGAGAACACTCTTGTCGTGGCCGCTGGAAACTACTACCCGATCCTGTAGACCGAATGGTAAACAGTCGACGTCGAACACGTAATGACGTATCCTCCCGATCCATTAACGGTGCTTTTAGGTACCACAAGCACCGGTCACCGTCCTCGTCAAACCCGTCGCTTGCGACGAAGGGCTCGACGAGCGAATTAACCTATAAACACAGCCCACTGAGTTTCTCGCCGGATCTTCTCAGTGGGTCGCGTTTCGGATCCAGTGGTAGATTCTGCGAAGCACTGCTCTTGCTAGGGTTAGTGTTAACAACACTCCGGTTTGAGCCCCGTGAGCTCACCTACACACGTTAGGGCGAAGCTGAAATAGCCTCTCAAAGCTATCACCATAGGTAGGAAAAAAACCATTGGGAAATAACATTTTGTTCGAAATACAAAGTCTAAATAATTCGAAATATTACTGAGTATTTGGGGGTTTAGAGGTAGGGAACAGCTAAAAAGGATGTCGACTTACAAAGGATTTCGACTTAACATTCGAGTTAACATTCGAGTTAAAGATTCCGCTGTATACACGTGTTACTTACTACGATTTATTATCTGTAAGTAGATTGTAATAATTTATAAAGTTACAGAAATAATAATTGAACACTATTTAAATTAAAAAATATTTAAATAAATTTTTAACTACTCAGCTGTTCAAACTGAAATAAGGAATTTAATTATTTAATAACTAGTTTTGTCAAAAACGTGTCCAAGAAGAGAAGAAAATTTACTAATGATGGTGTAAAAATGTTGTTGATGGAATGCCGCACTTTGTGACACTTTCTGGAAACAGGCAACCTTAACAACAGTTACAGTCGGTGTCACACTCATCAGTAGACCGACGAGCAGTTGGAGCAGACAGGCAATGTCACGACTACGATCTGACGTTGACTCTGCGAGAAATAAATCCACGGGGAGCTATACCGATCGGCTCCACCGTCGTGATGTGGTCCACGAAGTCCCGCTTGGCGACGTACAGCGTCAGCTTGCCGTTGGGCGCGCACTTCTTGAACACTTTGAAATTGTAAACCATTTTAGTTTCCGATGTCTTCGTTTATCTGGCCCGGCGTGTACACTACCAGCTCTGCGGCTAGACTACCAGCGCACCGCCCCGCGACTCTCTTATAAAATAATCCCTTGAAACTTGTAAAGCTTCTCGTAGCGATAATCCAGTTTGTCGCATTACGCGTCGCGTGAGACAGGGCAGTGCGTGGCGCCGAGACAGAGGAGTTCGTTTATGATCACTTGTAACAAGATTGAAGGTTTAATCCGAGGTCACAGGCGGCCGCGGGCGTGCTACAGCTGCTCAGGGACGTACTGCGTGAGTGAGTACGGAACTTCAGGCGAGCTCACGTGGAGCCCGCCGCGTGCTCTTGTATAACAATAATTAATGAAATAAACTTTTGTGTGCATAAAGTTATTACAGTTACAATTATTCCATTGTATAATATGGTTTCTGCAGCATTGATGTCCCATGAATAAGGTATAATCTGATTCTGTACTGTGACTGCTTTGAATTATAATATTCTTTCTAGAGTATAGAACGCCACACCGAAATACTCGCGATTGGTGATGACGAATCTGACATTTATTCAGATAGGGAAACCAAACAAAGATCAAACACGTAATTACTGCTTAGTTTATGGGCGTTCGCTCCCACCGCCCTGATATTTCAAAGGATGTAATGAGCAATAAACAAGATAACATTTCACGAGTGACAGTGCCCACCAATGACGGCAGAGGACATAAAGTCCTGTGCTCCCTTGTGGCTCGAGCTGCGGACTTAACTGTAAATTGAAAAACCCGTGACGTTCCGTCGCGTGGTTGAGATTGGACGTGATCCGTACGAACTGGGATAGATCAGTTAAAGCCAGTTTTATGGAGAACATTAACTCGGCAGTGAAATGTAACTCGTGTGCGTATCCGCTTGTCGTATTTACTCGTTCTGAGACACAAGACGATGTATTGTGTATTGATGACGGGCAGGCGAGCAGGCGCGCAGGCGAGCAGGCGACCGACGATGCAGCGGATGCCAGAGCTTGCAACTACAAGTTGAATAGTGAGCGTGCGACGTGCGTAGACGCACTCTGTGTGATATGAAGCTGCATTCTCAGTTATTACCGAGAGAACCATTGTTCTCCAACCCTTCAAATATTTCTGCTGCAATTGAATTCACAACACCTCCTAATACGGCTATCAATTATTTAAGATGGAATTAATTTAGTGAAACAGTTTATTACAAAATCTAATCTCTATTCATATTCACAATTTCTGTAATTTCAGCCGCTCTACCATCGACACGATCATGCTCGCGTGAGCCCTCTCTGATGAGTCTATCGCCCGGGGCGGGGTGGCTTTGCCGGTGTCCTTGCCAACACATTGCCAACACTCTCAACATGTTGCCTTGGTCAGTGGTCGCGGTGACGCTCAAATATCACGGGTCTCCGCGTACCTCCGCTGGCTGATTTATCGGAGTTCTATCTCGGTAGTCTTCTTAGAGTCCGTCATAGCCCGGTCTGATATCTCATCAGCCGGGTATTCGTAAATTGGATGCCCCAACGTAAAAAATAAATTGTAGCTGCTGCTATCCATGTTCACCCTATTTAAAATCCAGTGGCCTAATGTGAACTAGTGTGACAGAGAGGCATACACTATTAGTCTAAATCAGACAATGTCTCTTTAAATTATTAAGCGGCTAATAATGACAAGTAGTGGCTTCAAACAACCAAAACATCGATAATAAATTCAATACTTTTATCTTCTCTCAACTTTAATCTTACGCATTTGTTAAACGTAAGAAGAGAAACGTCTGACGTCATTACTTGGACATGGCTGAATACCTGTGGTTTAATCTCGCTTGTGTTGTCCTAGGATCTTGGATCAATGACTGCTAATCGAAGTCATGTAAATCATTTTATTGTAATATCCATATCACCTACGTGTGCGTTTTCATATTTATGAAATAATTGCCTACCACCTCGTATGCAATATAGACCAGCGGTGCGCTAATTTATTTCAACCGCGACCCTTACAGTGGAGAGAAAAACAATTGTCAAGACCACAAATTGTCATATTGGGAAGACTGAGTCATAAATTTGAAGAATACCATCACTAATCAAATCTATCTATGTAATCTAATATGCATATATTACGATAATTTCGAGGAGAAAAATACACGCTGGGCTTGTTCAACCGGTGCAATAGACGTCAACATCGACTTCAAAGCAAAATATCTACGGCTCGACAGTTCTGCTCTGTATTTGAAGGGATTGGGATTGGTACATTACGAGCTGCTAAATCAACCTTTCCCAAAATGGGCGATAACGCCTGCTGTGGGCGCTGCAGGCCCAAAGGGGGGCGGTAAGAGACACAGAAAACAAATGGGGGCGTTGTGTAGAGGCTTGGGAGGTGATTTGTAATTTCATCTAGAAGGGCTCTTAGACACCGACTGAGCTCTCGCTACAGTTATTGGTTTTTGAGTAGGTGAAAAAACGGGGGCGCTAAAAAATAATTTACTGTCAAAGTGGGCAGTAGACAAAATAAGTTTAGGAAGCCCTGTGCTAAATTGGTCGGAAAATAAAAAATAACGACCCCCAAAAATCTTCTGGCACCCCTCACAGAGGTGGCGACCCCTAGTTTGTGCACCACTGATCTAGACAACAGGACCCTGAGCCCTAACCGTATGGAAGTACATAATAACAATCGCAGCGATCATCGCTTTCGTCGTCACATGCACTAACAGTCTAACAACAGGTCGACGACCCCGACCCGGGCGGCGCGCGCGTACTCTCTCTCTCTGCTGCTGAGCACAGGTCTCAAGTTGGGCCGCGGTAATGACGCTTGTATTTTTGCCGTCTAACCTAACACAATAAAACTACTCCGATAACGTACAGTAAGTACAGTTAAGCAGTCCGTTTTCAAGTAATGCATTTACATAAATTTATGATCAGCGTACATTCTTGTGAGTGAAGTCTGCGGTGAGGCGCGGCGGAGTGACGTCACCGGGTGCCGGGTCGCTGCCTCGTCTACTTTCCAGTGTTGAGCGAGTGACTCCGGCGCCGGCCTCACGCGCAGTTGCTCTCTCTCGTCTGCGTTATTTACAAACATTTTATTAACGCGGACATTGTTAAAAACGTAAAACTCAATGTGTCCAGTGCTATGAGTTGTGTGTTTTGTAATTACAATAAGTACATTGCACCGTGCAGTATCCTGTGATTTCGTGCACGTGTCCATTTCTAACTTATTTCTAGGTATACATACGCCTGGAAGTAAATTTACAAAATAACAATATCTATTCACAAAACAGTGTTGAGTTAACAAAAGGGTAACATGGATTCTAGGGAACTCGTGTTATCAAAGTGTTAACACAAATGTTGCACTGTTACAATTACTATTGACGAGTTTAAAATACTTTCTCAACAGATGTCGTTGATTTAAATTTTTAGCATTAACTATTATCGCTTTAAGTTTTCTATTTTTCACAAATATGTTTTTATTTAACGATGATACTTAAAAGGAACATATTGATATTGTTTATTTGATTAATTTAACAAGTATGCACATTTATTTGAATATGTCGCAATAACCCGTTTGTATACACACAGAGCACTTCAGAGCAGTAGAAGATGCAAGCCGCGAGCCCGAGCACCCGGGGCAGTCCCGACTCACAATCTCCTCCAGGTGTACTACGCTTTACTATAATATGTCATTCATTATAAATAATATAGATTTATAACCTTTTTGATGACATATTTTGATTAGCAGAAGACGGACATGTCTTTAAGAATAATAGTCGAATTATTCTCCGTTTTCAAACCAAACCATTACATGTATTTTTATATTCTAGAAACTTTAACTTTATCTAATGACAAATTACAATGACATTATACTTGTCTATACATTCAGGCAGACTGACATCAATATATTTTTATTGAGTCAATTAGTGAACGCGCAACAGGCCGCCTGATGTTAAGCAGTTACCGGAGACCATAGACACAGTACGAGTCGACCGCCGCCCGCCAGGAAATGTAAAGTAGAAGTCTTAATTATGTTGTACAGCCGCTGACAGAAGTAGGCAGGACGGTGAAACCAACTCGTGCGAGCCGACATTTCGCTCTATCACCAGTAATTGTGCATAAATTTTTCGGATTTAAGTTTTAATAAACCATGTTTTTCCTTCACCATGAAAATGATTCATTAACATGTATTAAATCTACGTATTTCCTTAGAAAAATTGGTAGCTCAACATTAGTCGCATAGCAATGCGCGACACAAGTTCTTAATGAAGTAACAAAATACTGGATAAATAAGCATATAGTCCCATCATAGGAGGAGTGGAGCTCCGCGAGGATGTGCCGCTGACGCCGAGCGGGTCGGGGGGCGGAGCGCGCCTGTGCGCGGGGGGGCCGCGGTTCATCGTGGCGTCTTTCGCAGCCCTCACCGCCGCCACCACCCTCGCGCTCCTCACGCAGATATACTACGGAGATTATGAGGTTGTCTAACATTAACCAAACTTACTACTGCTTGGCCCCAATTATAAACATACTAAGTGCAATACAAATGTTTGTACGTCAGGTGGTCCCTCACGGCAGCGTGTCTTCAGACGCGAAGTCGTGTTCCGGTGCGGGCACGGAGGCGCTGAAGGCGGGCGGGCGCTCCATGGACGCCGCCGTGGCCGCCGCGCTGTGCCTCGCCGTGGTCGCGCCGCATCGGACCTCACTCGACGCGTGAGTTTCAAGCAGACATGCAAAACCGGTTCCGACTCCTCGTCGACGCGGCGCGACCTCGGGAATCCTAAAAACAGTTTCATTCAGCTGGTCGTTCGATAGCAGCTGCACCCCCCGCACCTTCGCTCGATCTTCAGCTCATTGCAGTAACCCCGGCACCACGCAGGGAGAAGCCGCTTAGCGCCGGACCCTCTTATTGTTTCGACAAGTACTATCGTGAACAATTCAAACGTTGCTGGAAGAGTTGCGGCGGCAAGTATCGGTACAGGATCCCGCGACACCATTTGCCGGTGACACTTACTTATACTTACAGTATAAGGAGCGGTCAAACCCCGTTTCTCTCAGAAGCACATTGCATCTCATAGTATCCAGGTGAGTCTTATTACTTTTCTGTGTTTAAGCCTTCAATGTATCTACTAATGATTTGCATTTTTTTGTTGATTTTCAATAAAAATTAGGTAAAAATCAGCTGAGCTTGATATATTGTACCCTGTCCCATAGTGCCGGACACAAATATGTCCCTTACTACCAGACAGTAAAAATTATTTGTGTTATTTCAGATAAAAGAAGAATATACAGAAATTGAAATGGGAGAGAAGAATAATAAAGGAAAATGGGAGCCAACAAAATTACAAGGTGCGGTAGATATAGTTTTGTCAAAAAAATTGAGTCCGAGAGAAGCTTCGTTGCGTCATAGGATCCCAAAAAGCACTTTGCATGACAAGGCACATTGCGCATTGAATCGTGGAGAAGAAGTTACGTTGCAACCAAACTTGAGTACATTTACTACACTTTCTTACTAGAGTGTGAACAGATTGTAATATATCACGTAAAATATTTGTCCATGGGGGATTTGCGAATTTGACCGACATTTGTGTTCGGATCTAGATTATTATCCTACTGACATAACTAATATATCTGAATGAGCCAGAAATTTTATCAAACAGACTGAGCGTCAGCCTGTTATTGATTTAGCCATAGCTGATTATCTCCCCATGAACATGGATGATGATGAAATGAACAAAATAGTCTCAGAAGAAAAAAAAAGAATATTCTTAAAAATTCCACTATTTCAAATCGACTCATGAACGGCATTTGCAGACATTCATGAGTGTTCAGACATCTACATAATATGTGATCGATGGAGTATGTTTGTAAAACTGTTCGGTACTAGGGGTTACTTCGAGATGTTGCATTTATTTTTGCCGAAGTTTAATGTTTGATTCTAATTACAGTTATGCAGAAGAAGCAGTTTTGTTAATTTATATTGCTAATAAAGTTTATTGAATTACTTAATTAATAAAGTCTAAAATTTGAATATAGTTTTATTTTGTTTCCAAAAAAAACGTTGGGTGTCCAACATTTGGTGACTTTCCCCTAAATAACAATAATGCACCACTACCCACGTAGACAGCAAGACGCTCGTCTCATCAGTTCAGTGTGCCCCGGCGACCCCGGCGAGTCGACGCTGAACGTGCTCCGCCGCCCGCGCGCCGCTCGTCTTCTCAGTGATCTGTGAACTGTGAATACATCGACGCAGACACGCATTTCAAAAGTTATATCCTATTTTTAAGTTCAGCGGTGGAGATTCTAAATTTAGAACGTAAGCTTTTATTACAAATTGTAGTGGTACTAAGCTCGCAGAATTTATTCAACATTTCCAGGAGTGGCACCCTGCTGTACTGGGAGTACAGAGAGTGGCGGAGGTCGGCGGCGTGGCTGGCGGAGTGGGGCGGGACGGGGGTGCGGCGCGGGGCGACTCCGCGTCTGCTGGTCGCGCTCGCCGCGCTGCACGCGCAGTACGGACGCCTGCCCTGGTCGCAGCTGTTGCAGCCCGCCGTCGACCTCGCCAGGTGGGTTGTCGCAGTACTGCTCAAACAGCGGGGGCGGGAACACTGAAGTATAAGAATAATTTGGAAGCTTGTCTTGCCTCTTTTAAAATAGACTCTTGATATTGTATATAAAAAAGTTATTGTACTAGTGGTAGAGCAATATACTTACCCGGTACTATTACCCTAAGCGTCTCCCGCACAACAGCAGCATTTGCCGTTTGAAGGTTACAACTCGTAGTAAGTTCAGGTTGTATACAATACAATTGAGACAAAGACTCATGTTTCGCGACTCTCATCCTGTGATTTCTCTAGATTCCACTTAACCCCATGCGTATCATGAACTCGTTCGCCCGTCTATGCAATAATAAATTATTATATATTATATAATTATCGTTTGTACACATACACAAACGACTGTCATCCCAATAGTCGTTGGCGCTACCGGGGTAGTAGCTAAAAGTATTACAAGATACCTAAATAAATTGGACAGCAACATTAATGTTGGTATCCTACAGAAACAGGCAGCTATTCACACATAAATTATACTTAGTAAGTTGCTTGGAGACACAGTATTCGTACATAACACACAAGAACACTACACACAAAACACGCCACGACTGTCAGACATACAACAGCCACTCGACACACAACATTCATCAAACACACCAAATCCAACAGACACCACTCATACATACAACGGCAACACAACAGCCAATAACGCAGCGAGGAGGACGACGAGGAAGAAGAAGAGGCACTACTCACGCACAGCAACACACGCTGGGGTTCTCTCCATCATTTAGTCATTTTCTATTCTTTTTTTTTCACATAAAATATCATTAAAATTTTGGGGTATAGATATCTTTTTTCCTGTGGGAAACGGGACGGGATATTTATCAAAACCGACACAAGTCGAGGAAGAAAAACAATAAACTATATAATAATAATAGATAATAGAAGAATAGACAAATCTTCCAATGGGCGTAACTCCCGTTGGAAGATTTTTCGTTTGTATTAGGTATAATATCAATTACGTTTCCCAAAATCATCAAGAAGCAATGGGTTTCGACCAAGGCCTAACATTTCCAAACAATATATAATTTATTCCGCATCTATGTACGGTCGGTCAGCGCACTTGTCCAGCCCGGGGCCTGACAGTGCTGTTTAAGTTCCAACTCGAATTTTAGTATTCGTCGTAAAGGTGAATTTACATTACGAAATTAGTGGCGTCAAATTAATTTCGTGACATTAGTTTTACCAACAGTTTCACGTGTAATTTAGTACTTTCGTAATGCATGCATTAATTTCATGCATGCAAATTAGTTTCGTGCCCTGCGCGATTTTTTGGTGAAATTAGTGTCATGCAACTAATTTCATAGTGTAGACGCGACGTGAAACTAATGTCGCGAAAGGGCCTGCGCTGTGCGGACGTGTGTATTGTTAGTTAGGACGCGCTTCAAGCGTTGAAAATGGCAAACCAACGATGGAGTACAGAAAAAAATATAGATCATATTAATGAATATCAATGACAAGGGTCCCGAAACACCTACAGTAAAAAATCAAAATTATCTTTACTCATTCGAAAATAGTTTTTATAACTCTCAGGATCTTCATCTGCTAATTCAGAGACTAACTTCAATGCACCTAAATGCCTTCTTGTTGACCATCCTCGAATCTACCAACTTTTTTTTTCTTGAGTCTTTTTTTAAGTTTATAGGTATTTAAGCATTTCTTTAGCTACATTGAATATAGCAAAATATAGCTTTGATGCTGAAGGCGCCATGGTTACTGCGATACTGTGAATTTCGCGACACTAATTTTTTAACCAAATTACTTTCGCATATATCGAAACTACTTTCGTGAAACTGAGTTCAACATGCATGACACTAATTTCGTAATGTAAACTCCGCATAACTATTCCATGTTGGCGCTGCCTCACAGACGCGGACCCGACGCGTCGGTCGGGGTGGGGGCGGCGCGGGGCGGCGGTCCGGGCGCCCCCGCGCGCGCGCTTCTCGCCGACTACCTCGAGTCACTACAGCACAACACTAGTGCAGGTTTACTGTCGTCCTTTCATTTCATTATAGAGCCTGTTTCATCCAAAAACATCTTTTTTAACGACGCCATTTTTATTATTTTGATCAAAGTATTGAGTTTTTAGCGGACGCCGCACTTTAAACTACCTTTATTAAATCAAGTAACTGAAAGCTAGACAAATAAAATATATAGATTACATACAAATCGACCAAAAAGAGTTAAATGAAGTAATAATGTAATCCTGCAGAGTTATCCAGCGCGTGGTCGAGTGAGAGCGACATGCGAGTGTCGAGTCCGGCAGCGGTGCGCGCGGGGGGCTGGCGGGTGTGGGCGGGGGGTGCGGGCGCGGGGACAGTCGCGCGCGCGCTCGTCGCGGGACTCTCTCCGCCGCCCGCAGATGTTGACGACGCGACGCGCCGGTGAGTTGAAGAGTTCTAACCGAATTTCACCCTGCTGACACTGTGTGGTGCTGCTTATGGGTATACAGGGTGTCCCACAAAGAGTGTATACATCGAACACTCGAATACAGAAAGATCAAGTATCCAGGGTCACCCTGGATGTATCCATGACATTCCGCCCGCATATAAAATCAGTCCGCAATCGTGCCGTGATTGTTCTCGGGAGACTCTACCCCATGATCTGTAAGCGGAGTAAAATGTCCCTTCGGAATAAGATGACACTTTACAAAATATGTATAAGGCCCGTCATGACTTACGCGAGTGTGGTGTTCGCTCACGCGGCCCGCACACACATAGGCACCCTCCAATTTCTACAATCCCGCTTTTGCAGGTTAGCCGTCTGAGCTCCGTGCCTCTAATCAATCCAGAAATACATGAAGTCAGCGTCGGAACGGTACTTCGAAAAGGCTATGCATTATGATAATCGCCTTACGTTGCCGCCGCTGACTACTCCCCGAATCCTGACGCCTTAAACACGTCCTTACGGATCAATCAGATCCAATAACCTTTACATTAGACGCCTTCAGCTCTAACACTAGGAGCATGCTTAGAGACCCCGGTAACCGTACTCGTCGAACTCGACAAAGAGGTCGACGTGCAAACTAACCCATGCATCAAGCCCACTGAGTTTCTCGCCGGATCTTCTCAGCGGGTCGCGATTCCGATCCGGTAGTAGATTCATCCGCGAAGCAATTGCTCTTGAGTCGTTAGGTCTCCTTCGGAAGCGCTCGGGCAGCTGTTAGCAAATCCCAACCTTTGCTGAACCTTTGCTCGTCCACCTGTTCTGGGGAAGCTGGAAAGACCACCAGTAATCCTTCAATCATAAAAAAGGAGTACATGGTTGGTCACATGGGACCCACTTCGATGGTAGCGCCTAAATCGAACATTTGAAACTAAACTGGTAAACTGTCACGCCCCTGAATATGGGTCTGATTCCTGCTCGATGGCGTTAGTTGTTATTGTGTTGTCTGTATACGCAGTCTGCTACTACCAGGGCCAGGAGGAGATCCCCGCTGACACTCGATGGGGCTTTTTCTTTATTTATTTTTATTTATTTAATCAAACACACCAACAGCAATACACACAAAACATTCAAGCTTAAAATTAACAAGTATAAAATTAAGTACTGGTATGTAAGCCGTTACAGGCATGTAGAGCAATCTCTTATTTTACAAACAACGGAAAAATACGTTAAATTTTAATGTTAACAACATGACATAAAAAAAAAATTGTAAAGAACATGAAAACAAGAGTTAACTACTTAACATTCTCTCATCAATTATAAACAAAGGAACTTGGATACTTATAGTTTGTTTTTGAGACCAGGAGACGTGTCGTTAAAAATGTCGATGCCGTCAATTAATGCACATATTTGGCTATATTCACTACAAATTTTTGATAAAGGGAAATATTTAAGGAGGTTTGCAGTATTATAGACATTTAATAGTCGTATCTGCATGTGTGGATCAGACACTGGTAAAAAGAACGAAAACATTTTGTTGATACTGTATCCCCGATAGCATAAGCAACTTATTCTCTTTCCTAACATGGTTCTGTAATGTCATTCTTATGTCGGATTTTGCGTGCTATAGACATTAATTTACTCATAACGATACTCTATGAATAAATCTCAACACATTGCAGAGTGGTAGCCGCATTACAGCAGGAGGCCGCGTCGGACGCGCTGTCCCCGGGCGGCGTGTCCTCCGGGCTGGCGGTGGTCGACGCGCAGGACACCTACCTCGCGCTCGTCACGTGAGATGCCATTCGGGCTTGTGTCCCTAGATGAACACTCTGCACATCTCGTATCATTCTTTTATTTTTCCAAGTTCTAGTTTGATATGAGTATCAGATTATTTTTTTACTAAATTATCATTAAACAAAATCTCCTACTTCTCATCGTGAGATATAATTTTATTAAATTCTGAGGCTCGGAATAAATAAAAAGTCTCACCAAAATACAAATAAGACCTATTTCATTATTACGACACCTAAGGTAGTCAGTCTTCAATATCACAATTTATTTCATTCGCTTCGCTTCAAGTGATCCGTTCGTTGTTTCGCTTCGAATAGAACTGATTGTTAACTAGCTTCATGTAGTCTTTGCAACTCTGTTAAAATCGACACTGCATATTTAAAAAATTCCAGAACATTTCCGAAGTACTGGTCGTTTCGATGTCCGTTTCTGCTACGTATCTGGGTGCAGATGGCGTTACTCGTACCGGCATAACAACATCATCAGCGTCATAAATACTATTAGCAGAAATTCTGACCAGTCGAAGTAATATTCGAAAGTGCATGACTGACCGACCTGCAGGGGCCTGTCGGTGCCGTTCGGGTCGGGTCCGGTGACGTCATCCGGTTGGAGCCAGGACTTTCCCACCGCTCCACTCGATCTCACCCCAGCTATACTTGTGGACCAGTTCGTCTGTGGTATGTAACACTGCCCCTACAGTTGTGAGAGCAAGTAGGCCAACACAAACACTTATTACTTCTGTGTCAATATCAGTGATCGAATTTACTCCAGTTCAAGGGTAATTCGGGAATTACTGCCGAGCTTTTGAAAACTATCTCTCTATACATAATATCTGAATTTCTATTTCGGACATGATATCTGAGCATATTCCTTAACATTGTAGGCAGCGACTTGACTGTGCCCCTGGTATTGCTGACGTCCATGTGCAACGATAACCACTTACCATCAGGTGGGCCATATGGTCGTCTGCCTACAAAGGCAATAAATAAATAAAAACATTAGGTCGAGATCAAAAGAAAATAATTAAAACTGCACACAAACTTATTATAGATAAAGTATTGGAGCCAAAATTCAGATACGACTACATTGCTACGGATGATTTATATTGTGACTTTTGAAGTACAAAATAAAATTATACAGTTGGTGGATCAGAGGATGGAGATACAGTGCCTTCTCACATTTTCATCGTTAATTGACTGGAGATGGCGCCACACAGCATGACCGTTTGTCTTAGGTACACGATACGTGCTGGGCGGGTCATCGGCGGCAGCGGTCGCGCAGGCTGCAGCGGCGCTCGCGGTGACCGGCGTCCCCTCCGCCGTCGAGCGTGGCCGCGCGTCCGACACCACGCCCGCGTCCGCGTCCGACCCCGCGCCCGCGTCCGATCCCGCGCCCGCTGTTAACGTGGTGCAGCAGCGAGGGGACGCGCTGGCGTCGCACGCGGACAGTCGCGGTGGCGGCCTCGCATCGCGGTTCTGATCTCAATATATAACACGTCATCGAACTACGCATTTTACAGTATTTTGTCTAAATGGATGTGTTCATTGTTATTCCGTGTAAATTCCTATAAGTTGGTCTCCAAGTGATGTGTCACAACATGTTATTCGGAGACTATTAGCATCTACTAGACGGATTTCAGAAGGTTTGTTAAGTAATCTGTGCTAGCTGTCCGAAGGGGGCTCATGAAAAAGTATTGTGAAAACAACATGATGATTAACATTTTTGAAGGTCTGGCGGCTGTCTACTCGTACATTATAATCCTACGGTTAACGGGCTCTTACCACGATTTTCACTTTTTATAAGTTTCTGATATTTCCGACACGCACTTGGCGCTTTACAGAATAGTTAATACTTACTTACCATAATAAGCACTTAACATATAAGATTTTACAGTTCAATAACAGGGCTTATCGTGTGTCGTATATCCATCGACGTAGTACATAATAAGTACCTATATCTCAGTAGTGGGCCGCGCAGATTCTGCTCAGAGCTGATCCGCGTCGATTGTTGCATTTCGTAATTTCTGTGTCGTAAACGTAAGATATATTTATTATAATTGATTACGAGTATAAAGGACGAGCAGTGCAAGGTCCTGGGATTGCGAGGATATAGATCTGCTTGTGTACTTATTCTGTATTCGTTCGACTCGGAGAGCAAACTTAATGCATGACAAACAAATGTTAATATTATTTATTTTCAATAAAGTTAAGCTGATGAGAAATTTAAGAAGTAGTTTTGTTTCTGCGTTATCTATATTAAACTCGTGTTATTGTGGGAGGACTACTCGTTGGACACTACAGTACAATGTATCTGGGGAGCGATGATCATCTGCACCTCATGTTGCCGCGCTGCGGATACGGGGGTCGCTCGTCGGCTGACGTCACAGCTGCCGCCCCGCACCAGCCCGCGTCCGAGCCGCGTTCACACTCCGCCCACTCTATCCAGTGATGGACAAGTGAACTAAACTGACCCTTCGTGATAACGTGACACTACAAATCTTGCATGGGTACAATCCTGACTTACAAGTGTAGTGTTGGCTCACGCGGCCCGCATCAACACGAGCACCCTACAACTAATAAAGCTCTTTTGCAGTATAGCCGTCGAAGCACCATGTATGTTTTATTAATTTATTGCTTTATTGCTTTTTCGGACTCACGGCCCATCTGGTGTTGATTATCGGAGCACATAGACATCAACAACGTAAATGCCGCCACCCACTTTGACACATGAATTCTCAGTTTTATAGTACAACGGCTTTCTGCTTCACGACAAAAATAGGAGGGGTGGTGGTGCCTACGCGTGTGGGCTCAAAACATGCCCTAATCAATATGTGAATTTTTATGACGGCTCAGAGTTAGAACCGATCAGTAAGTGTCCGAAGACAGCGTCAGAACGTTTCTTCGTGCAACACGTTCCTCCTCTTATCCCCTAGTCTCGACACTCATCATAATTTACATAATTTCTGCACACGAACAATAAGCAAAGTTGGGCGGTCGCAGGTAGGTCGCAGGTAGGTCGTAGGTAGGTCGCGCGCTGAGACAATATTGAAGTTAGCGGCTGCACCTGAACAATGAACGCGCATTGTGTCTGCGAGCGAGCGCAGCGCGACCAGACCTCGACCAGAACGCGACGCTCAACATCTCCGAACAACAATAACATGTTTATCTCCTTAATGATTCACGCTACAATTGAACTGATAACAGCATCACTGACGTCAACTAGGTCTAGTGTTCTGCTATTTGTCACACTTCTTGACTTTCAGAATTGGAAAACGAAAGTCAAATATGTTTGTTCCCGCGATGAATAATATTGTATGTATGTACCTACATGTATACTCGAAGTACGTATGCAGGTGTAGTATTGCGCCGGTTCTTTTATGTCATAGACACAATTATAAAAAGAGAGAAGTGTCTTATGGACATACGCTTGGTAATTAGTTCTTTTTGCTATATCGTTTCTGTTTTTGCATTAAGTAATGAATAAATAAAAAATAAAGGGTCAGGTATAAAATAAGTAAACGAATCATAAAAAGTGAATAATTTTAAATAAAGTTGGTATCGCAGATAATTAATTGTCTGGGATATTAGAAAACTATATCGTTTTATTATTATTTTATATTTTTATTATAAACTAGCTGCTCCAGCAGACTTCGTAGTGCCTTAATCGATAAATAAAAGACCTAAACTTTTGTATAAAATAAACTTAAAACAAACAAAAGGAATCGGTCCGACGGGGGACACATCAAAAGAAAAACTAAATTGTTATTTTTATTTAATTCCGAGCATTTTAATATTTATACCTTTTAAGCCTTCTCTGGACTTCCACAAATAATTCAAGACCAAAATTAGCCAAATCGGTTCAGCCATTCTCGAGTTTTAGTGAGACTAACGAACAGCAATTCATTTTTATATATACCTAGTCAGGTCATAAATTCTGTCACGTGTTTAATGTAAAATAATTGAAACAAGTTTATTTATTATGTAACCATTCATATACCAAAATGAACTTAACAAAACATAGATTCTTATGACACTAAAGTTTATTCAAAATGACCTCCGTGATTTTGAATACAGGCCTTCAATCTGCGCGGCCAGTCGTCTATCGCAGCACGAACGAGGTCCATGTCAATATCGGCGGCTGCCTNTCCACGTAGTGTTCGTACGAAAAAGGTGGTCAAAGCAGTAAGGGAAAGAATTCGAAGAAATCCTGTCCGAAAGCAAAAGATTTTATCTCGGGAGATGAAGATAGCACCTAGAACCATGTCGCGTATTTTAAAAGATGACTTAGGACTTGCAGCCTATAAGAGACGTACTGGTCATTTCTTAACTGATAATTTAAAAGAGAATAGGGTGGTAAAATCGAAACAACTACTGAAGCGGTACGCAAAGGGAGGTCATAGAAAAATTTGGTTTACGGATGAGAAAATTTTTACATTCGAGCAACATTTAAACAAACAAAATGACCGTATTTATGCTCAAAGCTCTAAGGAAGCTTCCCAATTAGTCGACAGAGTGCAACGTGGGCACTATCCGACTTCAGTGATGGTTTGGTGGGGTATTAGCTATGGAGGAGTGAGTGAGCCATACTTTTGTGAAAAAGGTATCAAAACATCGGCACAAGTGTATCAAGATACCATTCTTGAGAAAGAAGTGAAGCCCCTTAACAACACCATGTTCAATAATCAAGAATGGTCCTTCCAGCAAGACTCGGCGCCAGGTCATAAAGCTCGGTCTACGCAGTCTTGGACTTCATCAGAGCTGAAGACTGGCCGTCGTCTAGTCCCGATCTTAATCCGCTGGATTATGATTTATAGTCAGTTTTAGAGAGTACGGCCATGATAATTTGGAGTCCCTAAAACAATCCGTACGATTGGCAGTGAAAAATTTTCCCATGGAAAGAGTGCGTGCTTCTGTTGATAACTGGCCTCAACGTTTAAAGGACTGTATTGTAGCCAGTGGAGACCACTTCGAATAAGATTTTTATACTTTAAATTATATTATATTTATGTTATGTAAACTAACACACTGTAAAAGTAATAAATGTTATTTGCAATAGATTTTTTTTTTCCTTTTTCTCAGTATTTATGGCAAAACTAGGTATATAAAATGGATATGGATATTCTCAAAATTAACAACAAACTGAATAGATAGAAAACAATTTCAGTCAGGCAGGAAGAGCCACCGGGTTAACAGCACCTAAAAATCCTACTGAAGTGCACGCGGGCAAAGTCGAGAGCCCAGCTAGATACTTTTAAGTTAAGTAAATGAATTTGATAGGTCAAAATAATATTGTTTCACTATCCACCGGAATTCCTTATCACTTAGTTCATGCGAAATATTAATTAAGTACGTAATTAAATACGTGTTACTAATAAAAACAAAACTGTATAGTAATATATCGCGATGGATTCAAGGTTATCGTAGAAACATGCTCGCGTGTCGCTGGCCCCGCCACTGCCGACGCGTGTCACATACTAACATCACGTTTCACGATCTGCGCTAACAAATCTTAGACATCACATCAGTCTCGTATTGAAAACATTAACTTGGCGAGCACAACGCAAGCTGATAGATACATCACGTACAACTACGGCGTCTCCTCCATTTCTTATTATTTATAATTTAGTAGTCGTGCCAAGCAAAAGTCCAGCTCCCCCAAGCTGCGTGCAGTGCAGTAGCTGGGCAAGTAGTCCCCAGCGCGGCGCCTCACCACTACCACCACCGCCGCGCCGCCGCGCCGCACGCGGTAACGAGCGATTTTATTTTGCAACTCGTTACGCGGCTCACCTGACGGTCGGTATCGCAAAAGGCGAACGAACAGCAGCGTCCTCGGACTATTTTACCAGCATAACACGATCGCTAATATACATATACTTGTGGTGCGAAGCAGCCATTGGTTTTAATGCAAAGGATCATACAACTAAGACTTCGTCGCACGTTTCTAGGTAGCTGAGGTAGCATTCTCGTGCTGATGACCATGGACTCCGGTGACCACTGCAGACGACCGCTCCCCCAGCGACAATGAGACTCGCGATTATTTAAGAGAGAGCAAACTGAACAGAATGAATCCTAACAATGTATCGCCGCAAACAACAACATGAGTCGGAACCCAGAGGCGCCCCGCTTCGATATATTTTCGTTAATTGGAGACCTTGAACCGATGTCACCGCTTTATTAATAAAATACCGGGGACTCGGATCGAAATACTTTTATAACAATCGAGGCCGTTCTGTGCTCGCGCGGCTGTCGGCCCGCGGCGTCGGCTCGAACCGACCGGCGACTCCTGCCCGGCCGGGGTCCCCCGCGGACTCTTCCAAAATTTACTCTTAATTTTATTTCTATTAATACGATACGATTTGTGTTGTGAATCAATCAACAAAAAAAAGACAAACTTCTATCTGAATGTTAAAATAATAGAACGAAATGGACGTTACACTTTTTATGATTCCACATACGTTGGAGACCAGGACAAGTGGTGGACACTCAGCATCGACACACACAGTTCAGGTCGCCGAGTCACGAGACGAGCCGAATAGAAACGACGCACTAAAAACGAAAACTAATACTTACCTTAATACATATAATAATATGCAGGATGCAACAGAGAATGTGCTGATAGATATAAAAATAAACGGGGATGTGTTGTAATATATTCATGTTGTAGATACTTACATAAAGTTGGTCATCATTCAACTGAACGTTAGTGATTGGCTCCGGCGCGGCGTCGTTTATAAAAACCTACAAAATTTGTTTCGAATCGCATTAGCCTTGAATGAAAACACAATTTAGACCATTCCTCTCACTTTTGTTGAAATTTTTATATTATTTTAATATTTTGCTCACGTATAATTCTGTTGGTGAATATTCAAATGTAGGTACAAGGACGGAGAACCAAAACGCGCAAATGTTTCTAGAGAAATATTGACAATTAAGAAATAACAGTAATATAATTATTATATAACACGCATCATAATAAAATAGAAGATAATTTGGATTTTCTTTGGAACCGGTAGTACAGACAGCATATTTTAACACTCAACAAGTCGTTTTAATGACACTTAAGTCAAAATAAATGTTATAATTTGAATTCTTGGAAGAGCCAGCAGCGAATCGCCCCGACGGGGACGGGCCGACGTCATGTGGTCGATCGAGTTTGAAACAATATACATTATTATTGAGGAGACTAAAATAATTTGCTCAGCAAGCTAAATCCTAACATAAATAATGTCTAAG